ACGCGCGCCCTGTGCATCGGTCACCGTACAGAGTCTCCGCGAAGGAAAGGGAGGTGATCCAGCAGCAAGTTCAAGAGATGCTGAATGACGACATAATCCAACCTTCAAGCAGTCCATGGGCCTCTCCAGTCGTGCTGGTTAAGAAGAAGGACGGAACTCTTCGGTTCTGCGTGGACTACCGGCAGCTCAACACGGTTACGAAGAAAGACGTCTACCCACTGCCCCGCATCGACGACACTCTAGACCGCCTGCGCCACTCTCGATACTTTTCATCGATGGACCTGAAGAGCGGCTACTGGCAAATCGAGGTCGACGAACGGGACCGAGAGAAGAGAGCCTTCGTCACGCCGGATGGACTCTACGAGTTCAAGGTGATGCCCTTCGGACTATGCACGGCGCCAGCAACTTTCCAGCGTGTCATGGACACCGTACTGGCAGGGCTGAAGTGGCAGAGCTGTCTCGTCTACCTGGACGACGTCGTAGTATTTTCAGCTGACTTCGACGAGCACTTGCGACGACTCCGCACGGTTCTCCATGCCATACAGACCGCCGGGCTCACTCTCAAGCCGTCAAAGTGCCGGTTCGCCTATGACGAACTGAAGTTCTTAGGTCACGTGGTTAGTAACGAAGGCATTCGTCCAGACCCAGAGAAGACTCGCGTGGTCGCAGCATTTCCAGTGCCAAGAGACAAGAAGGCCGTGCGAAGGTTCCTTGGGCTATGTGCCTACTATCGGCGCTTCGTTCGAGATTTCGCAAGGATTTCCGCACCGTTCACAAACCTCACGAAGGACGCCGAGAAGTTCGAATGGGCCGAGGAGCAGCAGCAGGCATTCGACGAGCTGAAGCGACGACTGCAGACGCCTCCTGTTCTTGGACATTTCGACCAGGATGCGGAAACCGAGATTCACACGGACGCAAGTAACGCAGGACTTGGCGCGGTACTGGTTCAAGTTCAAGAAGGCACCGAGCGAGTCATCGCCTACGCAAGTCAGACATTGTCCAAGGCGGAGCGAAATTACTCCACGACTGAAAAAGAATGCCTTGCGGTCGTCTGGGCAATCACGAAGTTCCGCCCGTACTTGTACGGGAGCCCGTTCCGTGTAGTCACGGACCACCATTCGCTCTGCTGGCTTGCTAACCTGAAGGACCCGTCAGGACGTCTTGCTCGATGGAGCCTCCGACTACAAGAGTTTAACATGACAGTGGTCTACAAGGCCGGCCGGAAGCACAGCGACGCCGACTGCTTGTCCAGAGCCCCCGTCGAAACCCCTTCCGGCTGCAGCGACGACAATGACGACGAGAGCTTCCTAGGAGCTGTAAACGCCGACGACATGGCACGACGTCAACGGGACGATCCTGAGCTGCGCGCATTAATCGAGCACCTGGAAGGGGGTGGGGGTACCGTGCCACGTGTCTTCTCACGAGTATATTCTACCTTCGCCATTCGACAAGGTGTACTCTACAAAGAGAACTTCGGCGACAACAGCACACCGTGGTTGCTGGTAATCCCGACCGACCTTCGGGAGATCTTTCATGCATGTCACGACGACCCGGCGTCGGGACACCTCGGTTACAGCCGAACACTGGCCCGTATTCGTGAAAAGTATTACTGGCCAAAGCTCCCCAAAGCCGTCCACCTCTACACCCGATCGTGCCACGAGTGCCAGCGACGTAAGAAACCGCCAACGAAACCGGCCGGTCTCCTGCAGCCGATTGCTCCCCCGACCGCACCGTTCCAGCAGATCGGAATGGACCTACTTGGCCCCTTTCCGCCGTCAACATCGGGAAACCGCTGGATAATCGTCGCCACAGATTATCTCACACGGTACGCCGAAACGAAAGCCCTCCCTTCAGGGACTGCTGTGGAAGTCGCCAAGTTTTTCATCGAGTCCATCGTCCTCCGGCATGGCGCCCCCGAAGTCCTGATCACAGACCGAGGGTCATCGTTCATGGCACAGCTGACCCAAGAAATCCTGCGTCTCAGCCACACCAGCCATCGTCGCACCACGGCGTACCACCCGCAGACCAACGGACTCACGGAAAGACTCAACAAGACCATCGCCGACATGATTTCCATGTACGTCGACGTGGAGCACAAGACATGGGACGAGGTGCTGCCGTACGTCACCTTTGCCTACAACACTGCCATGCAAGAGACCACCGGAGTGACACCCTTTCAACTGGTGCATGGGCGCAGGGTAACGACAATGCTGGACGCGATGTTACCCCACGAACCGGCTCTCGACGGAAGCGACGACGCCCAGGTGGTTGCCCAACGGGCAGAAGAAGTCCGCCAGCTCGCCAGACACCGTATTCAAGCCCAACAACGTGTCGACGCTGGCCGCTACAACCTTCGTCGTCGGGACGTCCACTTCCAGCCCGGAGACAGGGTGTGGGTGTGGACACCGATCCGCCGCCGTGGTCTCAGTGAGAAACTTTTAAAGCGCTACTTCGGACCCTACAAAGTACTTCGTCGACTCGGTGATCTGAACTACGAGGTGATGCCCGATGGAACACGGACTTCATCACGCCGCCCTCCACGACCAGAAGTCGTCCACGTCGTGCGCATGAAGCCGTACTACGCTCGATAGGACAGTGGACCTTACGTATTCCAAATGACTCTTTAGTTTACCGTTCTTTTTGTTTGCTTTTTGTTTTGTGCTGCATCGGGGCGATGCACTTTTTAAAGGGGGGAGTAATGCCGCGCGCGCTCGCCAAGTAGGCAGCGCGCGCGTGGCCTAATGGTTATCGCGCCTGCCTCCCACGCGAAAAGCTAGGGTTCGAATCCTGGAGCGACATGTCTTTTGTTTATTCCTCTAATTTAGTGTTCTGGAGAATTCGAGAATCATGTTGCTTGTTCCAGGCCCGAATGTTCCACGCGTCGAAGTTTCTTCGCCGATTATTCCAGAAGACCACGCATGTACATAAGGGGCTCCGCGTGGCGAGCCGCAGCCAGTTTTCGCCCCAGCGTTCGACTGTGCTGCTACGCCGACTTCGACGCCCGCGACGCTGTGTTATTATCTTTGTACCCTTTTAGTTTTTGGCACAAGTTCGCCACATTAAACGTTTCTTTCTTTCTGTTTATTTAGTGTTCCTTTGGTCACCACCCGTGACAATATAACCATGTTCCATACCACCATTCTCTTTCTGACATGGATGAAAACGAACGAAAGGCTCGGCATGCTGCGGCTCACCATCTACGCAGACAAGCACCACCAGAGCTTTGCCCCAATCAACATCATTCACGACGTGCAGATATGTTTTTTTTTTCTCTACACGAGCACGGGAGCACGTGAGCGCGGGAGCTCACGAGCAGGAGCACGTGCACACGACGGCGGACGGACATACGGACATGGCTAGCCCCTAAGGAGCTTCGCCCCTAAAAGCAGCAGAGAAAGAGAGAAGAAAGCAAAATTTTATATGCTGTATTTGGATAAATACGCTAGTCATGGTAGTGCCCGTGCAGCTGTCGATCAAAAGAGCAGCAAACTGACGTAACTCTGGTTCCTACGCCGCCAAAGAGCAGTCTCACCTTTAAAGCTGAGTGTGGGCTTTGCAATATTTTTGCGTGGTTGTTTTTGCAGTTTGTGATATTAGAGTCTTCAGCTTGGAAGGTTCATTTAAGAGGCCATGAAACGAATTTTCTACTCCGGCTAAATACTACTTAGAATCACTCTTTAATGTTTATAACTGCATAAACTTGCCTTAGTTTTTCTTTCTAGGCAACGGTAGTCGCCCAGAAAATTTGAGGAACCTGAGCACCGTTTATCCCCTCAACTCGGAGCCAGAGCAAGTAGGGTCTGGTGTCTGTCCTATGCTGCCAACGTTAATCATAGCCACGCGCTGGGGTTGGCAGAGTATGCTAAGCTTCAGGCATTGTTAGAGTTTGGCTATTCTCATCACTGCAGAGGTTGGACACGAGCCACTGCCCGAGTGACCGCCAAGGCATTGATTTTTACGAGCCCAAGTCTCACGCAGTTCTCGTGTCCAATCCACGAACCGTGCTCTGCTGTCGTCATGCGGGTGGTTTCAATCCCACAATTACGTCATCAAGCTTTGCAAAGGCAAGGCAGAGAAATAGTCCCCTTTTATCCTCGCAATTTCACCGCGACAAAGAAGCCTCTCAATCAGCAGCGAACCGTGCAAGTATACTTGGGCCTGACTAGGCCTGGTACGCATCTGCAAAGTCATGATCATCCCAAACCGGTATCATTTCATGACCCCTTTATACTTACGGGACACATTTTTATTAGTAGATGCGTTAGCGGATATTCTGGGTCTTGCTGGAATTTTACAGAAATTCTATTTGCAAGCTAAACAAACTACCAAGTGTAAAATGGGGAGGGGAGAGAGGATTTATCCCAATGAAGTGTTGCATAATGATTCACTTTCCAACCATTTTTAATACCCACTGGAAATGAAATTTTCTCTGACTAGAGTCTTATATACATGAAGACTGTGTTCCTTTTATGCCCTATCTATTTTTATCACGAAAGTTATGAGTAATATGCTCGAGTATTAAAAGGAACCCTTGATCACCATCATAAATGAACTCACTGAAATGCAATCACTTTTTTATTCTCAAGTGATGTGCTAACAGATGTTGCCATCTGCTCTAAAAGCATCAGTGGTTGCTCCAAGCCAATATTTTGCCTGCTACAGAACCTGCTAGAAAAGGTCAAATGCCGCTTCCATCACTGCAGAATGCATATCATCTTCAAACTTCTCGCCGTGGTGTACAAACACACATAGAACACACATCATCTGCGGCACATATCGCAAGGTATTCAAAATATCAGTGGAAATTGATCAATTATGACTACTTTATAGGAATGGTTTATAGGTAAGATCTTGCTGAGTCATTGTCTCATGTGCTATCTTAACAGGTAGAGTCTTACATGCAAAATTTTACTGGGTGATTACCTCATGTGTTACCTTCACAGAATGAGTTATACACCCAAAATCTTGCCGAGTCATTGCCTCAAATGTGACCTCCACAGGACGAGTTCCACACGCGCCTGCGGTTTGTGCGAAGGGGTCTGGTGGCCATGGCTTCTGGGGGAGCAGATGACAACGGCAGTCAGTTCTTCTTTACCCTTGGTGCGACGCCTGACCTCCAGAACAAGCACACCGTCTTTGGGAAGGTAAGCTTGCATTTTGGCTTAAGCGTCAACGCTGCAGCGATTCTTTCAAGCAAGCAAATTCGGTGCCATCTGCACTGATACGTTCCAGCTGAGCTTTCCATAATACTTTCTGAATTCGCTCGATAAAAAATTTGGCAGGGCGTTATTACTTGGTAATCCCTCACTCTTCCAGTGAAACTGATGACATGATATTAGATGCATATAGATGCATAACTATAAACTGCCAGTACTGGTAGTACTACTCCACCAGTGACATAAGGCTGGGGTCAACTAAGGTGGTTCATGGAGACGTCCAGTATGCTTGCATGAAGTATTTTTAGGTTGTGCCAGTGGTACTGGCACGAGGGCAGACTTGCTTTGAGTTGAACTCCAAAGGACGAGGCAAAGTTTTTCGTCATTGCAAGAGTTTTAGTTATAAAAGACGAGACAACCATTCTGACTGCAACAAACGCATGTTGTAAAGTTTCACTTATTTAGGGCGCTTTATTAATCAATGTTATGATAGAAGAAACAATACTGTGTTTCACCTTATGATTAGGATTTCGTGTTGTTGGAGTTTATTTCTCGTGAAATTTAGAGGGTGTTTTTCGGAGTTTTTTTTTTCGCTCAAAGTCAGGGGTTTATCGCAGTTTATTTTGATAGATTCTCAATTCTCGGAAATTTTGAGTTTATTTTGTTTCCTGGTTTATAAAAATTTTAAAAACAAAATAAATATGACTATCATGACTCATTGTCCTCAAGGAGCTTTGACGAGTTAAAAGGCGAACCCCTTACGTCAGCAGTTCTAGGTTTCAAAGGAAACTGGAGTTGCATCTTCTCAGGCCCACTGACACTTGTACTCTAACGAAGTTTATTTTTAAAATACCATCTTTTCTGGTTTTTATTTTGTCGTTGTGTCCTCGAAATTCAGTTTATTTTTTTAAATCCGAATTGACGGAAAACCTACCAGCAGGGCCAGCCTTACACCATCAAGCGCCCTAAGCAAACCCCCCCCCCCCCCCCCCGCCGTCTTTTTATACGCCGACACGTCAATAAGCATGTGAGTAGTGGTCCAACACAAGAGTTTTGTGAGACGAGAACCGCATTCCAAAAACGAACGGCCATCGAGCATATAGCGTCTTGTCTGGCGCCATGTTCAAATAAATTAAAAAGCTAAAAAAAAAGGAAACAACAGGTGAGCGTGGCATCACCCTCTTTTTGTTGCGGCCTGGGTGAGTGCCCAGATCACCCACCCCTAGGGCCAGCCCTGCCTACTGGCAAGTGTTTTTCGAATTTTCTCTTATTTATCCGAAAGCACGGAACACTACTTGCGACCAACCGCAGTGGGTGCTGCGATACAACCCTAGCCAATCCAAGGCCATGTGAGCGTTATATGCTCTAGGAGAGGGGCACAGTGACAGGCAGAGACCGCATCTCTTGCTGCATTCACAGAACTGGGTTGGCCGAGATGGCTTGTAGCGTCCGCTGCGGCCGGACGTAAGGTGAAACCGTGGTGCAAGGTAGGCGGGGAGGAACGAGGGCCGATTGGGTGGCCCGACCGTGTCCCCGCTTCGGGAAGGTTGGTGGCACTTCACATAGATGGTGCTACGCGAAGAAGAAACGAAAAACAAAATGTCCTCGCTAATTTTGCACGCGACGCGACCCACTGGCAACTTGTTTCCTAAACTGTGCACGAACCACGCAAGTTAAATCGAGCAAACTAGTAATACATTTAATATGTAGGTTCCATTTTGACCATAGTTTTACGTTACAAGTTTAGATAATCGAGGAGGCGTGCTACCCGACAAAATGAAGGCAAGCCGAGAAGTCGGCAAACGTGTGCTGTGAATACGTCGACAACGCTGATTTCACCCCGCCCGTAGATGTGTTCGGCGATCTAGATTGTAACTTTCCGACGTTTACGTGCAAGCGAGGTGAGTTTCAGGCGGACGAGATTTGAAGCCAGTGGTTTTCGTCGTCGCACCACGCTGTGGTCGTGCTGTGCCCAGCCCGACAGAGTCGCCCGAACTCAACATTGCCCACACTAAACGTCGCCATTTTCTCTTCCTTTGGGCCGTAACCCGACCGACAGTTTGGAACACAATGGTAGCGGCCCATACCTCGAGAATCTTGGCCATCCCTGGGCGCTAAAACGTGGCGATTTCGTCTGCCACCGCCGAATTTGTCCGCTTGAAGCATGTTCGGAAGATAAACAAACAAAACGAAATGCAAAGAGCACGTCGGATGTTTCGCAGACGTTGCCGGCCGCTCACACGGTTTGGAAAATTCATCAATGTTAAGAAAAAGTGTCGATAAAAATGACCATATCTCCACGTGGTGAATGATGTTGATTGGAACGAAGCTCTGGTGGTGCTGATGATACTGATTTTATTGTTCATAGGAAGTGCTGATGGTGCTATTTTTTTATTGCTCATAGGTAGTGCTGAGTTCCGGGTTGCGTTTCGACTTCATTATTACTGCTTTATGGTCGGTGAAATGCAAAGCATGTGGTTCTTCTAGCGGATCAGCTTAGATTCGCTAGAAGCCGTGGGAACACATCTTCACTTAAGTCAACGGTCCATGTCAGAAAGAGAATGTGTGGAATGGAACGTGGTTATATACGCAACTGAGCATTTGACCACAGCACCCTCGTCTATAAATGTTGAGCCAATGTATGCAAAGTTTAACGCACTTATATACGCATTTGACCGCAGCGCCCTCTCCTGTATAGACGTTGAGAGGCGACATGCAACGTTTCATCCATGACAGAAACCCCAGCTCTTGAGTTACTACCACATCTCAGAGCCCCCTACTCGTCCCACAGTCGTGGCGGAGTGGTTAAGGCGATGGACTAGAAATCCATTAGGGTCTCCTCGCACAGGTTCGAATCCTGTCGACTGCGCAAACATTTTTTCTTTTTATGTGAGCACAGTCGCCGGCCGGACGGATAAGCTTAGACCCTAAGGAGCTTCGCCCCTAATAATCATGCGGTAATTTCATTTCTCCGGGATATAGTATATTCCACTTTAAATTAAAGAACATTGCTGACACGGCGCATTCTCTCGAGTTGATCGCCTTCCGTATGCTGCCGCGCCATCTTTCGCACGGTAGAGGTACCTGCCAAGCAGAAGCCGCCAGGCCGCTGCGGAAGCTTTCAGTGGTCGCTCCCCACCCGCCTACCGTGAACTGCCCTGGAAGCACCCCCTTCGTTGAAGTGCCTGCTATTTCCATTTCCGAAACTTGGGAATTCTCCAAATTATACGTGAAGTGCCCGATTTGACCTGACAAGCGCCCGTGTCTAGATTAACCCTGTTTCCACTGAAAGTGGGGTGGGCTCTCTCCCAGTATCTTACGGTATCTTACACCCTAGGTGAAATAATTGTGCCTGGACTGCGTCTCCGGCTGACGAGTTTCGTGTCCCATCCCGCCCATGCATCCAAAGTGGTCCCAAAGTGTCAACGAATGACATCGCAGAAGCCGAAGTGTCACGCTGTTTGATGTCGCGATCCTCGCAATTGGCTCTAGAAGTATCGGCAAAAAGCACGAGCGAACGCGAGTGCCGCCGTTGTTGCGGTATACCAACTCCCGGCTGCCAAGTTCTGCAAGAGCTCGACAGTCCACAGACCGTTAAGCTCTCCAGCTCGACAGTCCGTGGACTGTCGAGCTGGAGAGCAATCTGCAGCAGAACAGGCATCTGCCACGTCCATTATCGCTGTGGCAACACCAATAGAGGCACGGGCAGCGACAGCACGACGCTTTTACAACGTCGTCGGGCGGAATTCGAGTGGCCACCTTTCGGATGCGGTGAACGGACCGGCCGGAGAAGCATTCCAGGCACTCTAGTGAAACTGAGTGTAGTCACGAGTGCTTTCGGGGTCTTGCTCATCTCAGTGTAGTAGTAGATTAAAACCAGCTTGACTTCGAGGGATTTGGTGGGTAAGTTGTTACGACCGTATGCGGGACGAAACGTTTCGAAGGGTCGTGGTCTCGTCGGTTGTTCCGTTCCCAGGTTGCTGGTAACACCCTGTACAACATGCTACGGCTGGAGGAGGGCCTTGTGGACTCGAACGATCGCCCCCTGCACCCGCACAAGATCATCTCCACAGAGGTGGGTTCGCCGCTTTGTCTGTATGATTATTCTTTTCAGACTCATACTTTCCGTACTTATACTTTTCATATAAGTTACAATGAGGCACCCAGCAGACAGCGCCAGGCACGAATTTGATCTCGATAGTATAATTTTCTGACTACTTCTAAGCTTCGGGGTTCTTAGGCCCCGTCGTAAATTACTCTGAAATTTTTCGTTATCTGAACTCCTGGACATTCTTGGGTATGTGATGTACCTGATTAAAAAGAAAAGAAAATTGCACAAGCTTGGTCGTGCTGACAAAGACTCACGAGCACAGAATGTGTCGTGCAAAGGAGTTTGCTTTTGCGTGCTCCGACCGCCGACCCTGGATGGCTCGGTCGGCGAAGCACTCGGCTCACAATCTCAAGGTGTTTAGTTCAAATCGTGCCAGTGAACTGGTCTTTTTATATGGTTGCCCATGGGCGTAACGCTTTTCGGTGTCGGTTTTTCGTCACAGCCGTCTGTTACAGCCTGCCGCTACAGCCAAACGTTACATAACTCCATGAAAATCGGCTGATAAAACACATCCTTTGTTAAAAGAAAATTTTTTTAAAGGTGCTGCTTCTGGGCTACTACAGTTTTCCACAAAGGGGCTAATATTGAGATTTCACAAGTTGCGCGCTTTGCTGAGGATGCCACGGGTGAAAGAGAAAGGAGAGCCACTTTTGTACTAATTTTGGATGGCAGGCTAATCTCTGCGGGGGACAAGAGCGACATCTGGGGGGTACAAAAAGAGGGTATAAATAAGAGGGGAGTTCCTTCTTCCCCTCCTCTCCAGCTGTTTGGGTTATGCACTCATCCCTGTACTCTAGGTAACGTTGCGTGCAACTATAGTGAGATAGAGTTTCAAATAATGCGGCGTCTGCTCCTCTATTCGCCACCGCCGCAACGCAGGTGCTGGTCAACCCGTTTGAGGACCTCGTCGCTCGAGAAAAGGAGAGGGTCCGCGTGGCGGACGAAGAGCGCGCCGCCAAAGAGAAACTCAAGTCAAACGCTTCAGCCGCCGCTGCCGCAAAGTGAGCCAGTTTTATCTAGCGGCGACTGAAGCTCGAGCTTCTTCAACTTCAAACACGCCGGGCTTCCCACAGCCGTCATTCGACACGGCGTGGAAGTGGTTAGAGACATTGAGAAGACACTCACTGCCTTGAGAGACTTTCTTGAGGGTCAGAAGCTTACAGCTTCTCTTAGGAGTGGTATGCTGGCTCTAATGGAGATAGGTCAGAGCCTACAGTTGATAGTTAGCAGTAATGTGTTACTCATATAGGCTTTAGTCTACAGGCCTATTTGCACAGTGTTGTTTGGCTACATTTGACAGCATTACAGGAATTTACATTGATTTAAAACTGCAAGTTGCTCGGCCATCCCTGTTTCCTTTGCAGCATGGCAATCAATTTGAGGAGTAGCTTGGCAGTTGACATACAAAGTATGGATGTTTTGGTGACTTGCACTCATATCTTGTCATAACACAGACAGATGTGCTCAAACGCACCTCTGTGCATGGCGCTTTTGGGGGCCGGGGCTAATGATACAGCTTGGGTGCTTACCCTTGTGGCAGTCCTGGGGGAGTTTTTAGAAGCTAGCTTCGGAAATCGCACCATAAAGGACCCTTCGGTGCTCCAGGCAAGAGTAATGAATCTCTAATTACAAATTCACTTGGAAGAATTGGAAGAAATGTTCCATTTCAGTCTCTGGCAAGTTTTGTGTCAGCACTGGATGGACTGAAAAAGCAACTTCTCACTGCGTGTCTCGCTGCACTTCACTGTATTGAGACAAAAGAAAAGCTGTTGACTGCACGTGAAGTGACCTTGTACCATAATGGTTTAGATTTTTCTTTCTACTTGACCACGGTCCCGATGCTCCGCGTGTGACGGGGAACTTGTTGTGGTGCACAGCCAATTCGTAGCTAAATTTTTCACCCGTCATCAGTCGTACATGTGCGTTACTTCCTTACAGAAATTACAAACTGCTCTCTTTCGGCGAGGAGGCGGAAGAAGATGAGATGGAGCTGGACGCCGCTTCCAAGGTAGCCGCGGGAATCTGTTCTTGCCTTTCAAGGTGTTTCTTTGGACCTTTATCGGTGTCTGAACGCCACGCAGTGCTTAAGGGGAGACACAACCCAGAAAAAAAAATTGCTGCAAAAAATGTTGATTTTGAAAAATGACATATTTACATCCACCGACATCCAGAGAGTATTCCCAGAAAGTTTCATTAGTTTACACTGCATAGCTAAGTTTTTTATAAATTATTTTCTGTCCACCGAAGCCAAAGAAAAGGTAGGGGTTGGAGCACTTTGAACACATTTTTCTCCATTCCACTTTTTGGTATAAATTCCATTTTAGTCAATCTATCCTTTGATAATGGCAATACAGGGAAGGCTCATTCTTCACTTTTTCTGACTGAAATTTAATAAGGAATGCAGCTATAGAATTTTTTGGTCACTTTACGAATGTCTTTTATAAAAAATGTTGACATTTTGTCGAAGACACGGAAGATAAAAAAGTTTACCAATTTCGCAGAAGAGAAACTTTATAGAAATAACTGAGTTTTCACAAAAACCTTTTCATAGCCGCACCCCCTAGGCATTCTTCTACATATCTAGCGAATAAAAATCTTGAATATCGTGATAGTTTCCGATGATGGATTAACTAAACAATGTAGGCGTGTTGCTGATAAAAGCTGCTCTAATTTCCTTCCCACTTAACCGACAGATGTCAAATGTTGTTATGCACCCTCTAGTATGACCACCAGCCTGCCCTGTAAATTTCATTAATATTAAGCCAAGGGTTCAGAAGTTGACCCCCCCAGGGGTTGTGTCCTCTTAAAGGGGTTTAGGACACGTGAAACATAAAATCTGAGCTAACTCTATTGCTCGAACCTTTTAGCTGTCTCTATATTCTTGCTAAATTTATTTTGTAGTCAGCACTTTAGTTTCTTAGATAAATTCGATTGAATCGCCGAACCCCCACATCTCTCCATTCGAGAAGGCGGCCATGTTCGAAGGGTGACATACTTCATCCGTATCTGCCAGCCTCCTTAGCGGCGCGGCGGCGCAGTTCCAACCGTCTCTTGCATGCATTCACAAATTTGACTTTCTCAGCACTCTGGCTGCTTTGGCCTTCGGCTTTCTTGTTTCCCTCCCGCACTTCAAGCCGACAGAGTCTACAGCATTGCTCACGTTGTCAGAATCTTTTGTTTCGCTAGTCTAGGAAGCAAGGAGCCGGCTAGGAGGCAAGAAAATAAGGGTAGCCATGTGGCGTGCGAGCGTGGCAAGCATGGGCGAGCCTAGAACAAGAGGGCGTTCAACTATACGATCAGTCACGTGGCTGATGTACTCCATTATACAGGGTGTCTCAAATAACTCCACCGCGAAAATCGGTTTCTTAACCTATCGCACTACGATTTTGTACAGCGTTGCCCACAGGTGGTGCATTTTTTCTATAAAATTTGCAAAGAGCGAACTTACCTGAGGAAAAAAGTAAAAAAAGAAAAAGGCTTAACTTCTATGAAAAACGCAGCGGAGCTACCAGTCTTCGAACATTAGGGCGTTCTATTGATGATCAACATTAGAAAATCTATTAAATGATCAACATTAGAAAATTTCTACTTTTAATTACAAAGAAGTGTTCCACAAGCATTGATGTTTCGCAGACCTTTTCTGGGTTGGCAGAAGTGATGGGGGGCAGGGGACCTTGTCCGCCTGTGCAGGGGGGGACGATTACAACGATGACAGAACTGGTCAAGGTGCAAACTAGCTTTAAAGCTCTGAAATGAAGAATATTCAACCCAACTCAATCGGTGCACATAGTTTGGTTTATGTAGCCTTGTAGGACAGCCAGCATCACTGACAAAAAAAAAGGTTTATTGCTCGGCTCGATTGACTGTTGTGGGCTTCGGAGAGCCTGAGGAGCCCTTATCAGAAAACCGCTCTTCTAGAGCCCTCAAAATTGTGGAACTTGGCATGTCTACTAAGTAATCTTTGAGCATTTCACATCAAGAGTAACATAGCTTTTGAAGTTTTGCGTCCTTGCCTCTTTAAGAACTGGCATCCAACCAGCGCTCTAGGTGGTTTTCTTGTTTTTGTTCCATTCCGTATCAGGACCAGAAGGGCAAGAGCAAAAGCAGTCATGACCTGACGGACGACCCGGGACTGAGTTCAGTTCCGGTCGTGGACCCCGAGTACTCCACGGCGGCGTCCGACGACGACGACGACACCACTGGCGCTGTCGCCGCCGCCACCGCAGCGGCCGCCGCCAGGGTGCGCCAAAAGTTCAAGGACGGCGTCACAGTGACGTCCAAACCGAAGCGACCCAAGGAAGACGACGAGGTCGAGGAAGAGGAAGTGAGGAACTATTTTGAGGACGAGCGGCGGAAGGCGTCTGCCAAGAAAATGTAAGTTTTGCCTTCTCATGTCACGGTTTGATGCACCTTTAAGTTCCTTCTTGGGTGCTAGTAGTAGACCCTTTTTCGAAATTCCATCGGGCAACATTGATGGTCGCCGTTTCTTGGAGGAAAATACGAATATCTGGGAGGTCTGGCTGAATGAGGGAAGGAAATATCTGGAGGAACATGAGGAGGATATAATTAGAAAAGGGAAAAGAAATTAATCTATTATGAGGTATGCGAATTGTCAGCAATTACAGATCATTATACCAAGCACCATGCATATGTAAAGAGCTCGAAGTGTCTTGTCTTCTGTACCGCCCAAGAAATAGAAATGCGTTCTTCGAATTTCTAGAAAATTTTTTAGCACTATGACTGATATAGAATGCAATTTCATCCTTGGAGGTGACCTAAATATTGTTTTTCCTGATTTATCTTATAATCAGTCGAAATTATCATTATTACTGTCTGCAAATAATCTTCAGGATGTAATATCTCATCCCTCGTGCGTATAACAGTGCCATGTTCTTCTTTGCTCGACTTTTTTATTACAAATCACGATAGCTCTGATATGACTCCTGGAGTGATGTGTTTAGATTTCAGTGATCATTTGCCCATATTCATGCTGATTCATAAACAATACGCAACATCTAGAATGAAGGTCAGGGAAGTTCAACCCCCCTCAGATATTCAAAATATTAATGATAAAATGTTGCATACGTTTAGAAGAAACGTTGAGTGCGTAAACTGGAGCAGTATAATAGGCATAATTGATATAAATTTATTTATTTGCAAAACTGCAGACCTTTCGGTCTACGCAGGAGAGGCAACATAAAAACGCATAATAAATACGGTACACACTCACGCAGTCTGTGCTGGTAAAGCATGTGCAGGCAATTCGAAGTGCCTGCGCATACTTTTTACATGCAACAGCTCAGGGCTGCAACAACTGACAAGTTCTTCTGGCAGAGCATTCCAATCATTAATTGTCTTGCAAAAAATGAATATTTGAACACATCATTCTTGTATTGATACGATGCCAATGCTTTGGTGTTGCTCATTCTTTGAAAACGGGCTGTCGAATGCAACAAATATTTTTTCGGAATCATCTTTTGTCAGTCCTTTAACGATTTTGAATAATTCTTTCAATCTACAAATTTTTCTTCTGTACTCCAGGCTACTCAGCTGCGCCTCAGCTCTCATTGCAGTAACAGACGACGTATGCCTATATTCTGAAAAAATAAATCATAGGGCAAGGTTCTCAGTTCTTTCTATTTGTGTGACATGTTTTTTCTTGTAGGGGTCCCATACACAACTTGCGTATTCCAATATCGGATGAACATATGCTTTATATGCAGTTAATCTAACATCTTTATTTGCATGTCTCAAGTGACTTCTAAGAAACGCTAGTTTTTGATACGCCCTTGCACGTATGTAGTCCATGTGACTATTCCAGTGTAATGTATTACTAAAAATCACACCTAGATACTTAAATTCATCTACTTTCGCAAGTTCTGTGCTCCCTATAGTGCAGTGGTCTCAAACTCATTTGAGTGTGAGGGCCAGATATCCCACATTGGAGAGGTTGAGGGCCAACGTAAGATGGGGAGGGAAGGGAGAGACTTTGTGATTTATGTTTTTTGTAAACTCGCAGCCTTGCCAGTGATATACTTAGATTTGACATGTTTATACGACAGTTGTTGCTATCCTGATGATTTTTACTACGACACTCGAACAAATAATTCTGTTTTGATGGTAATATAGTTTTGAAGGCGAGATTCCCGAGCTCGTAGCTTTACAGCTGAGATACATCCTTCAATGAATATCTTGCGCTTGCAACCTAGTAGCGGAATTATTGTACATTACAAAAAGGCTGGGAAGTCAAATTTTAATCGAAACAAAAGTCAAGTGAATACAAATGAGTATAAACTATGTGAATATGTTAAAAGAGCAGGGTTACTTTTGGAACGAAAATTAAGCGACGCGATGAGTTCACTATGGCGCATGCCATTTCTAGCGCTCGAGACATATGGGAGCCGGGACTCGTAGCCGCTTGGTCTGTGGGCTGCCTCCCAGCGAGTCACGGGCCACATGCGGCCCGCGGGCCGCGTGTGGTAATACTACAAAACACCGTCTTGTTAAAATTAATAGCCATGCCTCATGTAGTACACCACAAATTGATTACCCTCAAAGACTCATTTAGTAACTCGTGATCACGAACTGCAGTAATTTTAGAAAAGAGCATACAGTTATCCGCGAAAAGTTTAGCATGTGCAGAAGGTGGCAGATTCAAAGCTATGTCATTAATATAAACTAAAGAATAAAGTAAAAATGAAAACCTAACCTAAAATTGAACCTTGAGGTACTCCTGAATAAACTGCCAATGGGGGAGAGCATACATTGTTATAACTGACACACTGCATTCTGTCACTTAATTATGAACGTATCCATACTAACAAACTTTGATTAAGCCTTAATTTACGTAGCTTTTCAAGCAATTTATCACGCGGAATGCGGTCAAAGGCCTTTGAAAAATCCGTGCATATCACATCAACTTGGCCACGTTCATTAATAACAGACGCAAACTCATGCACACATTCAAGTAGCTGCATGACCGTTGATAGACCCTGCCTAAACCCGTGCTGATGCTTATAAAGTAAGTTATTTTCTTCCAAATAGTTAATAATATGTTTCGATATAATACGTTCTAGGAGTTTACAACATGTCGCTGTTAAAGATATAAGACAATAATTTTCAGTTGCCATCCTGTTCCGAGACTTGTGAATTGGCACAACTTTCCCACTTAACCAATCTGCCGGTAACTTGCCCTGCCGAAGAGAAGCTTGAAAAATTACAAAAAAATACCGGGACACCCACTCTGCGTATCGTCTTAGAAATGCATTCGGAATATCGTCTGGGCCAGATGCCTTTTTACCGTTTCTGTTCAGAAACAAGTTAAATATACCACTCTCCGACAGAAAAAGATCCAGCATTTCTGACTGATAAGAAAAATTGGCAAGGTCTTTTATTATTAACTGTAATTAGCAAAGTCACCTCCTTAGGTGATAAAAAGAAGCGCCAAAGTTTTTGTGGGGATTCCTTCAAAAACCGTGAGAGTGCATTACCACAATAGCTTTCTCTAGCTCAGTGGTTCTCAAATGGGGGTCCGCAGACCCTTCTGGGTCCGCGAAGGCATTCTAGGGGTCCGCGTTCATCGGTCAAGCCCGGCAATAGGAGTGTTTTTTCCAGGTCGAGAAGAAATGTTTTAGTTTTTGGGCGAGTTTCTTCGTGTGCATGTCAATAAGAAAGGTCTACTTTACACTAGCCTTTACTGAAATCTATTTATTCAATTATTATTATATTTGCCCTATACATACCTTCCCCCTCTCCTCACCCCAAACGGGGTCCTCCATCATCTCCGCCCATCCACAAGGGGTCCGCGAAACATTGATGGTTGAGAACCACTGCTCTAGCTTGTGTGATAAGATTCTTTAGCTTTTGCCCTAAATTTTCCTTTGGCGTTTTATTTTTCGTTTTAATTGTAGGATTGTACATCTTATCAGGTATTTAAAGATATTTATACCTCTTCATTTCTATTAAAATTGGTTAGAACCAATAAACATGCCCACAAACCCTGGGTTACTAAAGATCACTTGAAATTAATGCATGCTAAAGCTGGCTTGTATAAAGCATTTTTAAGAACAAGAAACTTGGTCAAACTAGCAGAATTTAGGTCGCTAAGAACGCGCCTCAACGCAAAATTGAGGCGTGTGAAGCGAAGCTATTATAACCAACTTTTTGATTCTGAATGTATAAAACATCCTGACTTGCTTTGGAAAAGACTTGATGCTCTCTTGGACACAAATACTAACAATGATACAATAGAAAAATTAGTTATGGATGGGATGGAAGTGTGTGGTTCTAGAGTAGGAAATGCTTTTAATCGTCATTTTGTGAATGTTGGGTCTGGTTCCTACTGCAGTGATGCAGCATAAAATATTCACAGAGTTTATGAAACTGTATATTTTTATTCTGCCAATGAATATGAAGTTTTTTCGACGATAAATAATTTACGCAACAATTACATTTGTGATGCTGATAGTGTAAACATTAAACCCGTGACATTCGTTGTCGACCTTATTGTGCTTTTCTTAACAGACACTTATAACCTTGCTGTTTTGTGGGGTGTGTTTCCCGCAGGCATGAAAACAGCAAAAGTAACAGTACTGTTTCAAGGCAGGAGGTAGAAATAATAATAATAATAATAATAATCTTTATTTTTCGGGTGCCCTAAAACGGCCGAGCGGCCTTCTCTTAGGTACACCAACTCGTACAATAAAAACTCTTAAACAAAAATCCTACTCATTAAAAAGAAATAGATATGCATATACACTGACGCGCTATGAAGTGACGAAAAGTTCGTCCAACTGACAGCGAAATGTAGGCAGGGGTGTGGTGATGTCAACTTGAGGTGGCACAATGCTGTTATACAATGTCTGTAAACGAGAAAGAGGTGACACACGGCATGGTGAGCAGATATCAAAACAGGTGAGCTGTCTCGTCGCACGGAAAGGAACATGGAAATGGATTTTACTAATAAGCCATGAAGAATCAATGGCACCATTAATGATCTTATGCAGGAATACCAAGTCAAGGACTGTTCTTCTGTGTGATAAAAGCTTCAGCGAAAATCTATTCAGTAAGCATTCATAGTCATAATACACGCGTCGTCCAATCCATCTATCATAAACAATTCGAACAAATCTTTTTTGCACACGTTCTATGATCAAAGCCTGTGTTACAGAAATTGAATTCCAAATCACAGAAGCAAACTCGAGCCTTGAAACCACTAAGGATTGAAAAAGATGTATTGCACAATGGGGCTTTTTAAAATGCTTGGTCAAACGCGATATAACTCCTAGAACTTTCATTGCAGAGCTGACAACAAAAGAGACATGATTTTTAAAAGTTAATCCGCAGTCAATGAACACACCAAGATCCCTTACAAT